ATCTAATCTTAAATGGGAAGTCCACCCTGGTATTAAATTGGCTTTAGTAGAAGAAGAAGAAAAATTAAAGAAACAGGTCAGTGAAAATTAGAGAAAAAACGATTAAAACAAGAAATTAATTAATTTTTAAAGGTTCGATCAATCATGCACAAATTGGCAACTCTGTGACGTATCCTTCAGGATCCCCTCCCATTTGCCCAGTACCCCAAAATAAAAATATAGATATTTCCCTTTTGATAAAATTCAATCATATATTCACCCTCAATATAGTTATTGAAAATATATTTTTAATACAATCCCGGTATGAAACAAATTTATTCCGTCATCAATAACTAAGGAAATGAAAGTTAATATCAGGGTGGACCTTTACCTTAATTTAAAAAAATTACTCTTAGAAGAAAACAGAAAAACAGACTGTTATAGTTTGAACAAAATCGGACAAAAAATAAGAAAGTTCTGAATTTTTGAAAGATATGTAATCATTATGGGAATTTCAAATTGACTAAATCGGAATGTGATAGAGTTGTGCCGGGCAACATTCACATATTTTTTTGCCAACACACATCATGACTGAAATGCTAATTTTTCAAATCTATCTCAGGTGTGTCTTTTCTTTTTAGAGAACCTTTGATAATATGATATCAACAATATATTATTTTTTTGAGTAGTGTCTTAAGGGAGCAGACGTTTATGAGAAAAGCAGAAATTTATTATTTTGGTTTGTACACGAAAAACTGGAGAGGTGGTCTCGGACTATATCTCAAAATCCAGTGCATGGGGCAGTGACCAAATCGCCAATTAGCTTTTAGAGATCTCATATTCCAAACATTCCAAACAGTTTGTTTTTTGGTGCTATTGGTCCTATTTATTTGAAACTTCCGGCATTCTGGCTCTCTTATATTTATTTATTTATCTATTATTTATTCCGCAATTCACAAGAAATATAACAATGTAAATATGAGAACAAACATTAAAGGAATGACAATTATAAAATGCTCAATCTTCCTGGAGGTCCTCTGAGTGCATCAGCTAGCTGTCGCGGAAGAGGAAAGCAAACTTAATCCTGTAACCGTAATGATCCCTCTACCCAACCAACTGGTGCACCCAAAAGACCTGCAAAATAGCATGAAGGTAAATACAATGTAAAACATTTCATAAACAAACCAATTAACAAAAACAAAGCACAAGGAGAAAGTCGAGTTAATATGTATTATGACTAGGTCGATGACACGATACTAAACATAAACATGAGGAATTAATTCTGGCTTAAAAACTATTGCATAAAAAGTCAAGTAGGTAAACTAAAACCATGAAGTATAAAACTGAGAAAAGAACAAAATATGAGAACATGTAGTTGCGCACTGACAATTAAGAATGTATAAAATCATATAGGTTGACCGGTATATATTTGAAAAACATGATAAAGGAAGTGAAATATATATAGGCTTCAGGGGCGGATCCAGAAATTTCTTCCCGGGGGGCACATGGGGGGCACGGTGGGTAAGAGAACATATATATATATATATATATTTTTGTTTTAGTCCCCCCCAAAAAAAAATTGCAACGACTCAGCCAGCCTCTGAATAAGCGGGGGGGGGGGGGGGGGGGGGGGGGGGGGGGGGGGGGGGGGGGGGTAAGAGGACACTTTTTTTTTGGTCACGATATTTGTAAATTTGACATTTTGTTCCGTGGGGGGGGGGGGGGAGTGAGGTCGTCTTTTCAGGTCAGCCATTGGTAAAAATTTTTTTTTTAATTTGTCGGGTCGGGGGGGGGGGGGGGCACGTTCTGGTTTTTCAGAGCCTTTTTTGGCGATTTAGGGCTGATTTTAACAAAAAAAATTTGGCCGGCGGGGGGGGGGGGGCCTGGATCCGTCCCTTGGCTTAGAGGGCTTCAGGCGAGTAAGGAAACTAGGAGAACGAACACGTTAAAGAACCAGTACTTTATATTTTATATTATATTATAATATACCAACAAATAATAAAGAAACTGCGTTGGAAATGTGCAGAACATGTTTAAATAATGGAAGTAAAAAGAAGGTAAAAAGACTCTAGAGACATTACAATGATAAAATCAAAATTAGTGTTTCGGCTCAAGAATGTTATAGAGAAGTAGACAAATGAATGATTCCAAAACGTACCGTAGTTATTACATTAAACTCTCGTGAAATTAAATTAAACAAAGACTTCAAAAGAAGAAGTTAATCAAAGAAGATATGACTTTTCAGCCTGTTTTGCCAGGTCTGAAATTTAAAGAGTACATAGTCAAAGCGCAAGTCCCGAGGTAATTTGTCCCAGTCTAGGAAATATGTACATAATGGAATCACTTGGACGTTGCGTACGCCTGATATCTTCTCGTCTCCTTTTTATTACTCTGATTTTTGAAGAAATATCACTGCTCTCGAGAGCTTTTGCAACGAAGTTAATTTCCTATGGGATTCTAGTGAGACCCAATTATAAGGAGTCTTAGACGCTCGAAGTAGGGCATCTGCTGCCTGCGCTGTTTCAGGATGATACGAGTGGCTCTTCTTTGAATACTTTCAAGTCTGTCACAGAGATTCCTATTGGTGGGGTTCCACGCAGGTAAGCCGTACTCTAGTATCGGTAGTACTTGAGATATTTCAGCATTCATACAAATGAACTTAGTACAAAGGTTGAACTATCTCTTTGTTGGCAGATAGGCCTAGACATATAGCCGCTCTAAATGATCAATAATTGAAGTAGTTAATATTGTAGCGAAATGGTGATTTTGAACCATCTGTCACAAAGACTTTAATTATAGTACTGTCGTGAGGGACATGAACAATTGTTAATTCTTGACAATAATGATAGTAATAGTAATATAAGTAATACTACTAATAATATATTGACCTTCTTTATTCAGTCATACTTTGTTTTCATAATGTTCATAAGAATGAAATTAAATTACAATAAAAAAAACCAGGTCCTTTGTGTAGTTATGAACATTTTACAATAGGCAGGGTATAACGGAAGAAATAACATTTTCCGAACGTAACATGAAAGCTCAACAAAGACAAAAGAAACATGCATGTTATAACAATTAACTACTGCATTTATCCTACTTATAACCGCTTATCATACCATTATATGATATTACTACCAATCTTCCTTATCAAATCATTACAAAACCAATATCATCATTCCAAATCAGTTTCTAATTACATACATAGTATGATAGCATAATAGCAATATTGGAGGGGGATATATATACATGTATATTGAAGTGTGAAATTAGAAGAAAGATATATGTAAATATCATATTAACATCCAGAAACCAAACTTTTCTTTATATATGGAGACAGTGAAAACATGATACTATCTATATTATCTATATTAACCTACCGATGATAACAACCAAAAAAGATGGAACTACAGCAACAACAAAACATACCATTAATTATCATTTTCCATTCTGTTATCTTATTTCCTGCATTATTTGTCTCGTCAGATTCATCATTATGTTTTAGGATTGGTGGAAAACTCTTATAGAAGCGCCGAAAAGAATCTCAATTTCCTATTTATTGAAGACTTGTTGTTACAAACATGGCAGGAAACTTTTGTCAAAGTTCTCATTGGTAAGTTTTAATTCGTTATAGTTAATTTCACTGAGATATATTATGATTATTGTAAATAAATGAGCTTTCCAAGGAACAATTAATAACAATTAAAATAAAAATTAATAATTATTTTTGCGTAAGTTTTCTATAATTTTGCTTCCACTCTGAAAGACAATGGGCCAAGAATGATTAACTAGAGTAAGATAATTTTGTTTTCCTTTAACATAAAGCATGTAATAACATATGACCAAAGCTAAGCAGGGTATAATAATAGTAAAACAAAGTAACATACGTTTCCTCAATCTAAAACTTTAAGACACCATCTCATTAATAGGAGGGGAGCTTACATTTGTCCTCCTGTAGCTACGCCAATTAAGGCTCATAACTTTAAAGGTACTATGTCCCATTTGCAGGCCAAAAAAAATAAAAATTTGAAAGACAAAACTAATTTAGAACTTCCCTGAAAATGAAAAGGCTTGAAAATGGCTTTTAGTGGGATAATAACGACCATTAGCTGTCGAACCGACTTAAGTGATTGCAATCACCTAAGTAATAGTCTGATTGTCAGACTCTTTAACCGAACGGTCGAACTTTTTGTGCTGCACAATTCAATCAGTTTAATTTTGGCCATTACAAGTAGTGGGTCATTGATGTAAAGAAAATGCGCATGCACATGTTACAGCTCATTTTATGAATGTTATTACCAAAGAAAAAAAGATGTCAGTCAGTCACCCAATAGTGTCTGACAGTGAAGTTTAGAAGGTAACGGGTTACCTTGCATAATTTGAATACTAGGACACTGCTAATGTTTAAATTTTACAGATAGGACGAACATGACATATTCATAATTCCTGCAAAGTTCTACATAATTTGATGTTAGCTGCAAAAGGAACATAGTATCTTTAAAGTGTACCAAACACCCAGAAAAAAGCAATCTATGAACAACTGGAAATGAATCTAAAAAAACAATTACGTAACATCGCGCGCACAGAGCCCTAGTCGGACTTGAGTTCCGTGCCCTATTTTTTGCGTTGATAAGTGTCTCGTCACAAGTTGCTGTTACGTTAGTTGAGAATGTATTTGTATGTACACATGTAGTATCATGACATGGAACTACAAGAAACAGAACAGGTGATTCAGGCGCGGATCCAGGATTTCTTAAGGGGGGGGGGGGGCAAATTTGAAATCAATTTGAAATTTAGTGTGCTAAAATTTGAAAATCCTGCCGGTCAATATTTCGCTCAGTGGGGGAGGGTAGTGAGGACTAATTTTTTTGTTGGCCCTCCAAAATTTGAAAAATCGCAACCCCCTCCCCCTTGAGCGTCAGGGAAAGGGGGGGGGGCATCTCCCCAAAAAAGTCTTTTTTACACGTTTTTTTTCCCAGGTGGGGTGGGGGGGGAGGGCCGCCCCCCCCCCCCCGGGCCTCCCTCTGGATCTGCCACTGAGGTGATTGGTGCACTTTAATATCCCATAACTTCCGACCTGGGAGTATTCCCGCGATTCCCGCCCACATAGCCACGGTAAAGATTGTCATCATGAAAGAAGACATCCCCCGGGCGCCCGGGACCTTGACGTCGTGGCTTCTGGTCTCCCGCTCTTCTAAAGGAGGATAGATGCACATTAGACGGTGGGTCCCTTGTTCTCGGTGCCTACAAATTGTGAGAAATAACAATAATTATAATGTTTATACTATTAATACTACTATACATCTACTTCTACAACTACTCGTACTACTGTTGCAGCTACTAATATTACTACTACTACTACTACTACTACTACTACTACTACTACTTCTACTACTATTATGACCACTCTACTGCTCCTACTACTACTACTTCTACTACCACCAGTAATAATAATATGTGTAGTAGAGGTATAACTGCAGCAACAGTAGTAAATAGTAGTCGTCTAAATAGTAATAACAACAAAAACAGCAAAAGGAATAAGAATAGCGATGATATACTAACAAAAAAGTTATAATAATAATAACAAAATAAACAACAATAATTATAATGATAAAAGCTACCAATCACATTTTATTAATGTGCATCCCAGGGGATACTCCAGTCTCCAAGATATATAGTGCTCCGTTGAGCAGGCGCGGATCCAGGATTTCTAAGGGGAGGGGGCCCAACTTTTTTTTTTTTTTGGTCCCGAAAATTTGAAAATCGCGCCGGCCGAAAAGTCGCTCAGTGGGGGGGGGGGGGGGGGGGGGGGGGGGGTAGTGAGCACATTTTTTGGGGGGTCTTCGACAATTTAAAAATTTGCACCCCCCAAAAAGGTAAAACTCACGTGTTTTTACATGATTTTTTTCTCAAGGTCGAGGGGGGGCTCGGCCCCCCCGGCCCCCCCCCTGGATCCGCCACTGCCGTTGAGGATTAGAGTCAGTTTTTAGTCAGTGGAGGAAATTGTGCTATTGTTGCCCGGGCATTTATGGGGGGAACATGAAGATGAAACATAAAGGGGACGAGATTTTCTTCTTGTTGTATTCTCAGCATCGCTCTCAAACGTGCTTATATTTTTATGCATGAAAAACTTTTGACATTAACCCACTAACAACCATTCATATCCATTCATTATAAAAAGCCATAGCATATACAAACTATCATGAGAAGTAATTAAAGTGAGTTGAAATCTTACGTAAATATCCTGTGTTTCATCACCTTAAATTGATTTCGATATTGAGATCAATTTTATGGCTTATTAAAACACCCCTGAACTTAAAGGTATTAGTACATTATTTTGTTTCTGAAGCAAACTGCATAGAATTCATAAATTGTGATTACTTACGAAGTGTTTGTTGGACATTCTCCTCGCAGCAATAATACAACACAGACACATCATAGCCACGAGAACACACGCTCCCACAGCCACTCCAAATATGCCACCAATACCTAGGAAATTGCCCAGTGAAGTCAGCTCTGTGAGTAAGATTATTGGAAAATATTATCTTTTGAATGTAGCTTAATAGGGACATTTGTGCTATGTGACCAATAGACCAAAATCTATATTCATCAATAACTTATCAATACTTTATCAATACTTTATCAATACATCTACAGGAAGTAAAGAACTGGAAGTTAAAATGCTTGCAAACAGTACACTTCCAAGTAAGCTCAGGAAGCACTGGTCACAATACACTCCTTCCAGATAGTAGACGTACTCTTCTTTCATTACTGAGTAAAGGTATGGCCTATTTTAGGTAATAATTATTTGCTCAATGACTTATGGTTTACCAATCCCCACCCAATAGAGGATTTACCCATTATAAAAAGGGTTCGTTTTGGACTCCCGTCAGAATACTTCGGACCATTATCAAAGAGAACATTTGAGACAGTCAGGAGGAAACTTCATTGAGAGAGGAGGCTCTCAGACATCAGACTTTCTCTAGACTTCAACGCATCGTTACATTGTATTTGTATATCTTCATGTCATGTTATGCATGTATTTCATCGTGATAAATATTATGCTGTACATTCAATTATATTCAACTTGTGTCAGCATTCAAATCACTATACTCTAGAAAGTATACCTTGTATCGTAATACCAATCCCAGCATATAGGGAAGGGGGGGGGGGAATACCGTTTGGAATGATTGAACATGCAACAATTGTTTTATTTGAAGCATGTTTGGATACCTTATTTTTGACACTGGCAGGTCACTAATTGGCGAGGGGTCCAGATGGCTGACTAGGGGGCTGAGCCCCATGACTAGAAGCTCAAGGGTTTTAGGCATTTAAAGGGATAGTTGATCGAGCGCTACACAAAATATTTTTTTGTGTGTGAGATAATACAAAACTGAGTGTCAAATTTGTAGGAACATACAGTGTGAATGACAAATCATCTTTGTTTGACCAAAATCGGTTTAGAGACGGCTGAAATATCCATAAATATAAGCATTTCTAATATTTGTGTACCACCACAAATATTAGATAATTTGAACCAGCCGTTGAAAAAACGAAATAGCACCTAAAACATTTTATTCCAGCCAATGCCGATGTTGGCTTTTTGTTGGCTTTTTCGTGTTGGTTACATACGCACAACCAGCCGGCCCATGTACTGTTATCAATATTGGGGCCGAAATGAAGGCTTCTTGATAAGCATGTTTATTTGCCTGACCGGAATTTGGGAATTTGTAATTTTCCAACGGACGCATAAAAAGGATTTTAATTTACAGTTTCTTAAAGAAAAAACCCAGAAAATCATGTAATTTCAGCAATATTTGTAAATCCCTGGTATCGAATTAGAAATAAACCACGTTTGAATTTTATTTGGGGGGCAACTACCCCCAACCCCCCCCCCCTCCGGTATGTATAAATCGATACGGGTCGGATTTTGTTGCGTGAAAAGCACCCCTTTATCAGAAATTTTGGGAACACGAATGCGGTACCTCCGACCCCGCAGTGGGGAAGGGGGGGGGGGCGGGGAAGGGGCCGGGACTCTGAAATGTTGAATTAATTATTGAGTTTTTAGAGCGTGGGTCATTCTTACCGCATACTCTCGCGGGGCCAACCCCTGCAGGTGATCTATCCGCGTAGCCAAAATGACAGGTGCAGGAGAAGGACCCAACCATGTTGGTACAATTGGCATTCTCCGAGCAGTCATTGGTAGTCGTACTTGCACATTCATTGATGTCTAAAGAAGAACAGGAATAAATTATTGACGTTCAAGTTCACATTCATCTATTTTCCCACAACAACAACGAATACGTATAAATAAATAGCTTTTTACACCACATTGGTGTAAAATAACATGAAATATGAGGATAAAAAAGATAATAGTGGTGTCTATAATAATTTATTAAGCGTTTGGTCTCTATAAGTGCTTTTTAAACCAAGCCATCGGATGCCAATATACGTTCTCCACTCCCAGGGGAATTTTCAATGAATATTCAAGCGCCTTATTCGAGATAACTAGTCAACTGCAAAAACTTGAGCATCATATCGCTTACCGGCTACAAATGTATTTGTGTTAATGGACGGAGTTAAGAAAATGCCTTGCCTACTTATCCGCATCAGCCAAAACTTGGTAAAACGAGATTATGACAGCACTTTTTAAAAACCCTGGTGCCCAGACATCCGTGGCAAAACAATTATGAATAGTGCCCCAAAACAAATAGATTTCAAGGTCACATTGATCTGGACTTTTATTATAGGGATCCAAAAAATCTGCTGTAAATGCTTACCCGCGATGACAGTGTCTTCGGGAACAAAGACTATGGTCGTTGGTCCTGCAGTAGCCGACCCCCCTTGAATAGCACTATCTATATCTTGATAAAGTTGGGCCATTGTTGTAGACGGTTCGGTGATGGCTTCAGCTACGAATATCAGACTCCCTCTCCGAATTTCAATAACCGTAACTCCATAAATCGTATCAGTGTTCTGCATCATCTGTATTAGCACGCAAATAGAAAATTGTGATTGTTGAATTTTCGATAAGGTTTTGCGGTAGCAGATCTTGGCATTCGGGTAACGCTGACGACATGGGAACAATCATTACCATACATTCTAAAAAGTAAAATGTGAAATCACACTTCAAAAGGGCTGAGGAGTGACCTTTATTTCTAAACGTTGAACCTTAGTTTGTGTATTGCTGTAAACACTATAAAAGCTGCATCCAGCATTAAAAAGGGTTGAATCTACCTTTTTGAAAACATTGTCATCCCCGGCCCTCTTTGAATTTTAGTGGTTAGCGCAATGTTCACATATGACGCAGTAAACACTGCGAAAACCCATTGCAGTTTATTTTACCTGTAAATGAAAACTCTGTTTTACAGAGATACAGAAAAGTGAAGCATATCATACTTTACCTCATTATGTGTGAACGAGCCTTAAAGCAGGAGAATGGATGAGAAAGAGGGAGAGAGAGAGGATCAGAATTCAGACCTACCACGATAATGAAAGCGTTAGCCTGTGCTTGGAATTCAGGAGAATTTGGGTCACTCAGGGCATCAGTGTATTCGTAATCAATAGCGTTGAGCGATAGGGCTCGCACTATAATGCTGTATGTGTTTGCCTCTGTCAATATAAAACAAAGAAATAAACAAGCAAAAAACGAAAAACATGATTAAAGCGATTGCAATAACAAACAAAATATCAAACTACGTCAACCTTTTCAATCTTTTTCCTCATCATTTGAAACAGTGCAATGGCATATATCACACAATCCGAACATGAATGCAGTCTAGGTGTTGAAATGGCCCTTAAGTGATGATCGATTTCTAGGAAGTAACAATGTATTATTAGGATTTTCGTTCACTCTAGTTCATCATTCCTATTTCTGATTTCATATGATCTGGTTGAATCCTTGACGCATGCTCCGCCGACGATTGCTCTGCCGACATTTACTCTGCAAAACATGCCAATTGCTCCGTGACATTTGCTTGGCGACATAATTATTCTCCATCGTCGAATGCTCCTCCGACAGTTACTCCGCCGACAGTTGCTCCGACGAACATTACTCCGCCAATATTTGCTCCTATGACAATTGCTGTACATGAGGCGATAAATGCTCCCCAAACGATACTTGCTCCTCGGACAGTTGCTCCTCCTACAATTGCCCCGACGACAGTTGGTCCAACAACAAAAAATGTCCAGTGGAAGACAAATGCCATTTTGGATCAGAGAGCAATTTTATTGTCTTCAACGTTATACTTTTGCGGAGGAGCAATTATTGTCGTAAAGGCATTTTGTACTTTACGGGGCACTTTTTGGGCGGAGCAAATGTCGTCGGAGCCAATGTCGGCAAAGCAAGATTTAGTGTCGTAGGAGCAAATATCGGCGGAGTAACTGTTGTTCAAGGAGCATTTGTCACCGGAGTATTTATCTTTTCATGCGGAGAAATTGTCGATGGAGCAATTGTATAGTAGTAGAAATGGTAGTGGTGGTGGTTATTTTACCTGACTGCTAACAAAGCATAAATGCATGTTAGTAAGAGTCGTAGGAGCAAATATCCGTGGAGCAATTGTCGTCGGAGCAACAGGCGACAGAGCGACTGTCGGTGGAGTAACTGTCGGCGGAGCATTTGACGTCGGTGCAAATGTTACCTTTTGCAGAGCATTCGTTGCAGGAGCATGTGTCGGGTTACCGATCTAGGTCCCGTTGTATAAAACTTGCCATTCATGGTAACTTTACTCATTAATATGAACTTCAGTGGGAACATTGATTGGATTGGTTGTTAAATGATGTATGCAATTTGGCCCAGATTTGTTGACCAGAAAAATTCAGTACAAATTAGGCCTACATTAAAAAAGCAAATATAGAAAATATTTGAATCAATCGGTATGCCTTTTATTTGCTTGTAAATTAAAGTGTCTATAGAGCGGAAATGAGGATTTATGAAGGACCCTTTGCAAAAAGAGGGCAACACAATAACAGGTATATGAGTTACAAAATTGTTCAAACGAACAAACTACAATGTTAAGCAAATGTAAGTTTTTTATAATATGAATTATACATATAGGTTATTAGGTCATATTCAGAAAATTATAAATGTAAATTGATGAACTTTAATTTCACAATCACAGATCGGATATTAAATTCCTAGAATTTTGCTATTGCAAGAAATATAATCATACGTTCAAGTCAGAAAGTTTTGGCCTTTCATTTAATGAGTGATCTTCAGATTTAAGAATTCAACACAGTAGATATGCGGGCTTTCATATACCCACCTACCACCATATATACCCCAATCACTCCATATATATTAAATCGCACTATTATCTGGCGCGCTTTGACGTTCATGGCTTTTAGACAGTATTACCCCGGTTAATAATAATAATAATGATAATATTTAATTTTTATATAGCGCTTAATACAAATGTCTCTAAGCGCTTTACAAATATACTATTACCCGGTCATTGGATTCAGTGCTTGAAGAAGCTTTAATATCAGGTACCTTATTATACCTAAACGGAAAGTGGCAAAATTGACATCCTACCAAAGAATATTAGTGCTAGCCTGGGATTCGAACTCCTTGGCTTGCAAACCACATGTCCGGTGAATTATCAACTAGACCACATCAGCTCTACGAAATATCAAAATAAATATGAAATATCGAACATTTCTTTATAAAACACGAGCACAATAAATACCTGTGCAAACATCATTCATTCGGATGAAGGCGGGCCTGCACCGGCATTCATTCTCCACACACGTTTCTGTGTTCCCGCAGGATATAATCTGGTTAGTGGAGCATCCCATAGGAGCTATGTCAAAGAGAATGTTAGGTCACAGAAAAATGTATTCATTTTTTATTTTAAAAATAGTGCAGCATTAATAAAGAGTACACAGACAAGCTCATTACGTGCCACGCATAAAAACATAATTAATGCAACCAGGCGCGTGTCTGTCAGTGGCGGATCCCGGGGGGAATTGGATAGCCCGCCCCTTTTTGTTTTTGCTCAAGGGTGGGGGGGGGGGGGGGTGGGGATGTGTGTTGAGTATTAAAAAAATTGCTCTCAGCCCCCCCCCCCCCCTCCCACTGAGCGAAATATCGGTTGGCGCGTTTTTTTTTCTTCTTCAGATGACCGGGGGAATTATCTGGTGCTTTAATAAAAAGGAAACATGTATAATAAATAAGACATTGTTAGTTTAAAAGGAAATCCAACCCAAATAGACATCTACTCTAATAGAAAGCAGAAAAAATAAGAGAGGCAAACTCATGAAAGTTTCAATGAAATCTGACTAAAGATAAGAAAGTTATGATTTTTTGAAAGTTTTAATCATTATACGTATGGACAATTCAAATTGGCTGAAGCCGTAATTTCACGGTGATGTAGTGCAGGACTACTATACCATCTGTTCCAACATATAAAATGACTAAAATTTAGATTTTTCAAAAAATAATGGCTCAGAGGGGTCTATTCTTTTTAGAGGACCTTCAATAATATTTTTTGAGTAGTGCCCCAAGGGAGAAGGAACTTACGAGAAAAACAGAAATTAGTGATATTTTTGTACATGGCAAATGGGAGAACAATCCACGTTCTACGTCTCATTCCACTGACCAAACTATACCAATTTGAGATTTGCATAGACTTAGCGATTTCATATTTCAAAAGTTCATAACTTCCTTACTAATGGTTCGATTCATTTGAATTTTCGCCATTTTGTTTCTGTTATTTTTCTGCTATCATACAAATTAACTTATTACAAGGGTTGGATTGCCCTTCGACACATAAAAGGCGTTCTTCTCATTATCTATGCAGGCAATAAAAAATGTGGTTGCGTGAGATAAAAGAGATTCGCCTCTCGGATTTCTTTCAAAATGCTTTCGTAAATGCCAAAAGTATCTTCAGATTATATTTCGGGAGAGACCTAAATGTAGAAATTGATGTTTGTTGAATGTTATGAATATAACATTCCAAATATGTTGGCGAGCATTTTCGTCACACCAAAATATATTTTATACTAGCTTTCAGCATCATGAAATGGGATCAAATAAGACGATAGAAAGACTTTCAAGTTGTTGACCCAAGGGGAATTTCAATACGTTATTATGGTTGCATATAGAGTCATTATGTAACATGCCATTAACTTTTCTTGGCATATTTCATAAGGAGTTGCGTGATGCTTGTGAGACCAATATTGCCTCAATAATTGGCGTATACAGACCTTGCCGTCTAGAGGGGCAATTTGTTTCACCTTTAGTACTGTGATCCATAAACCTTTGGTAAAGAGGGCCCTGATTTTGGTTACAGGGGGGGGGCATCTCTCATATTGGTGTATTTTCAGGAAGTAACTAAGGAAGCCTTCTGAGAATATATCTACATCAGTTTCACAGGTTTTGAGACTATAATTATGTTGTGTATTAGTGAAAGTATTTTCTTTTCTTGTTCGGAAATCTTTCAGGAGGGACAAATTGTACCTCCTTAGAATGCACCAGTGGCCTCAGGTTGCTATCATGTTCGAACTATACCACTTACCCATGACTGATATAACAAAGGTGCATGTTGCTGTGTTCCCACTCGGGTCTTGAGCCGCGTAAGTGACCGTGTTCTGACCGACGGGAAAGGCATCTCCGCTACGACTCGGTGTCAGAGTCACATTGTTGGAATTATCGGATGCAGAGGGCTCCACCCATATCGCCGTCGCCGTTTCTGATCCGAGCTCTGTCGTTGAAGTCTGAGAGCTCGGGCAGTCGCTGATAATCGGGGCTTCATTGTCTGCAAACATATAAGGAACATAACATTTTGTTTCAATATGTCACCAATTTTCTTTTGTTTAGTTTATTTTAGGGAATAGGCCCTACATTGAGGGTACCGTATGTGGTATGTTAATAACAAATCATTAGGGTCCATTTTAAGTGGTCATTAATAAACATTTATGCGAGGTCGCCGCCCGGGCACCGTCCTCATCGAGCGTTTGCCGTTGAGCGATTTTGGTCAAAAATCGAAGCCGCTAGGTCAAAGGCTGCCGACCGATTTTGGACTCGCCGCCCAGGGACCGATCGATCTCCCAGAGGCGACCGGGCGGCGACTGCTTGGCAGCCTTATAGCGGCTTCGATTTTTGACCTAAATCGCTCGACGGCGAACGCTCGATTAGGTCGGTGCCCGGGCGTCGACCGCCCAGGCACCGAGCGTTCTTTGGGCGGCGAGTGAAAGTGAGAAGGTGCCGCCCGAATTTTAACTCAGCAGCGACCGAGCGATGCCCTAAAAACAAGTGGTGCCCGGGCAGCCGTCGCTCGGTGCCCGGACGAAATTGGCTCAAAGACTACTTTTAGGTGTTGTGACCATACCTTTAATTGTATCCTGAATATCATCTGTTCTGTACATGATTATTCATTATCTTATCTTTAATTGGCTTGTACTTTTCTATCATACTCTTTTAACAAATACCTCAATAAGCCATCCATCAACGTATATTTTTTTATTCTTTATAATTACCCCATCACAATACTGGCACTCTGCTTGATCTTTTGTTGTATATTTGTGAGAGGATTATGTTATTATGTTGAGGACTACATTCATTTTTCTTCGTAATGTATTTTTATTTCGTTTCCACATTATGGTATATTATTCAATGTTATTTTCAATCATCAGTCGTGTAAATTATTGTTTTGAAGGTGTTATTTTGTATCCATTCGCCTGTAGATAATGCACAATTGAACATTAGGTTGCGAGGCATGACTGTATTTGTTTGAACGTTACCATTTTGTATCCTGCTATTGCGATATTTATATATGCTTTCTATTGATTTTTTAATCTCAATTCATGTTTGTTATATTGTTGTATTATGTGACTTGATTTGCCAAATAAAATAATAATAAATAATAATAATCCTGTAATAAGGATGTCCCATCTGGTCCACGTGAATACATGTAGGTTCATGTATCTGGTAATGTTGGGGAAAATTGTACGGACCCCAGGAAACATACTGATGAAGCTAACGTGGTTAAATTTAATCACGTTAGCCTCATCAGTATATATTATTACAAATACTTACCACTGACAACTATGCCCGCAAACATTTATTTGGCTGTATTGTCCCAGGAAACGTATTGATGAGGCTACCGTGATTAAATTTTATCACAATATATTATTACAAATACTTACCACTGACAACTATGGCAAACATGCATGTGGCTGTATTGCCTTGAGCATCGACTGCTGTATAAGACAGAGAGGTGATTCCAAGTGGAAAGTTGCCTGGATTGGTCCCCTCTCCATTGAATGTCTGTGTAACGTCATTAGAGTTATCTGTCACACCGGGTTCTACCCAGGAAACCATCGCAAAGTCCTGATCGGGTTCCGTGCTCACAGACTGTGTGGATGGACACCGGTCTATCACAGGCTCTTCGGTGTCTGAGCAATGTAAAGATTAAAAATATATAATATTATTATAATTTTTTAAAGAATCGCGCATTAGAGAAATGGTCGTTAGGACTTTCAAAAAGATCATCCTGAGTCGATTTCAATTGTCTTTTCCGGTACCTTTTGTACTGAGCGACCATAACAATGATATATTGGTAATAATACAAAACGATTTATAGAGACATTGTAGATGTTCTAATTACTACATAAACCCAGAGTAATGCAGTTACTACACTTTTATAAAATGTTACAAATTTTGAGCTTGATTTTTAAGGTAATTCACGAGCGTATGCCAATTGAAATCGCCCATTCGTTAATTTCTCTCTTTCCCCTTCATTCTCAATTCCCCCTTTTTGTTTTCCCCTCTCGTTCTCTATCTCCCTCTCTTTGTCTCACCTCTCTTTCCTGTTCAAAATAATGTCTGTAATAATTTGTCCATATCCCTTACCTTTTAATATATATTGTGTAATGAATTTCTCTCTCATACTCTAATAATAAACAAGCCTCATCCATATTTTGGCGGTTAAAGTTGAAACAACTGGATCTTGAGAGACATTTTATACCCAGCAGAAGATTACATTACTTTCTACTCTACATTTATTTGTGATGGTACAGCTTTTTCTTTTCCATGCACATGAATCAAATATTAATTAAAACTGAACCTCAAATTATAGGATATTAATTTTGTAGATAGGATTATAACGTGTAGAAATTATGTTGGGAACAAATTGTGGAGCGACTAAACATGACCACCAATTCGGAGGGACCTTATCCTCATACATTCAGTTGATGTTTCCAGTTCCTTTCACCTGTTCCTTTCTTTAATACTTTCTTCCCCCTTCCCCCTTTTTAAAGAACAGGGAGGATGGATAACTAACCATAATTGGTTCCTCAATATCTAGTATGAAAGTTATTCAATGCTGGCAATAATAATAGTATTAATAGTAAAAGATATTAAATAATGATAACAAAATATTTGAAAGGGTGCATGAAACATAAGAAATACATGTACATTTAGAAGTTCCACCTACCACTGACTACTATCTCGAACATGCAAGTAGCTCTATTTCCAGCGGCATCAACAGCTGTGTATGAAAGAGAGGTTATTCCCAGTGAAAAGTCGCCTGCATTGGTCACCTCTCCGTTGAATGTCAATGTAACATTATTAGAGTTATCTGACACTGTTGGTTCAGTCCAAGAAACTGTAGCGAAATTCTGACCGAGCTTCATGGGAACGGACTGGGAGGATGGACAGTCAATTATAGCTGGTTCCTCATTATCTGAAAAGAAAACGAATGCATAATACAATTATAATATAGATAATATCAATAACTGTAATATGATGATGATGATGATTATGACGATAATAATAAGGTTGATAATGATAATAAAAATAATAATAATAATAATAATAATATCAATGTAGGCCTACTATTATGAATATTGATAACATTAATACCACCACTATTACAACTACTACAGCATTTAAATATCACAATGTTTACTTGAAATTTACAAAAAATTATAATTATTTTGACACTGATAAAATCATCTTAAGATCTTGACTTGGTCAGGGGCTCGAACACGGACCTAATCAATAAATTATTCAACTTCTTTTAACCTTAACTTACACTCAAAATATTCCAAAGCTAGTCTGGAATACAAAATAAATATCCACAAGATTCACCTACCACTGACTACTATCTCAAACATGCAAGTAGCTCTATTTCCAGCGGCATCAACAGCTCTGTATGAAAGAGAAGTGATTCCTCGTGTAAAGTTGCGTCGACTGATCTCCTCCCCTGGCCCATCGAATGACAGCGTAACATTATCAGAGTTATCTGACACTGTTGGTTCAGTCCAAGAAACTGTAGCGAAATTCTGACCGAGCTTCATGGGAACGGACTGGGAGGATGGACAGTCAATTATAGCTGGTTCCTCATTATCTGAAAAGAAAACGAATGCATAATACAATTATAATATAGATAATATCAATAACTGTAATATGATGATGATGATTATGACGATAATAATAAGGTTGATAATGATAATAATGATAATAATAATAATAATAATAATAATAATAATAATATCAATGTAGGCCTACTATTATGAATAATGATAACATTAATACCACCACTATTACAACTACTACAGCATTTAAATATCACAATGTTTACTTGAAATTTACAACAACGAATTTTCTTTATCATCATATTTGGCACATTTTTCCAAGCATTTTGATAACTTGTTCATCTTTTAATAACGCAATGAGCGTCCGTCAAAGTTGACAGCGCGCGCGGACTTGCGTTATCTTTATCCACAATACATGAGCAAAAACATGCCTATACAAAATTCTTTGTAACTCTTCAGAATAGATAAGAACTCCCAATATTTTTTCATATTTAGATAGATTATGAGTCGAAATATGATTTCATGTCTCATTTGACCCTCAATTAACTCATGACGTCATCATAATGGCCTCCAAACTCAAAATGTCAATTTGCATATTATGACGTCAGCATATTTTTGGAAAATTCATTGTATCTCTGTAAATATTGATTGATTTTCTTTCAAATTTTGTATTGTTCTAGCTGAGACAATTGTCTACAAATATAGTGTAAACAATTTTTCATTTTGACAAAAGCATCATGGCGTATTTTTGCGATTAAAGGAGGCATGTCAATTTTTCACATTTTGCGTGTATTCTCTATAGGACATGACTTTTTCTCAAAACTTGATTCTACACTCCTGTCTTTCGCGAGCAAAATCTCCGTTGTTTTAGTTTCGTTTTCGCTGAGCTTTAAGTATATGTTGTAGCTGAGACAATAAGCTATCACACGTTTCTCTCTTATTTTTCGATCAGATGCCGGGATCATGCTCATATTTCACTTGCAAAGTAGGATTTGAGAATTCCATTTCCCGTTTACGTGTAATCGCTATGTGAATTGTTTTGTTATATCGGTAACGCACTTGACATTCTCGAGATCCATGGTTCGAGTCCGGGTGTCTCCAACAATATTTGTCTTCACTTTTTTTTTCTTTTTGACCTTTCACTATACCATCTCCTTTGATTATTAAAACATTTAGAATCGCAAATAATGTAATAAACAACCCTATTTACTTTATTATTACCCTATTTTCACTTAATCCATTACTTTTTGCATTTAATCCCTATGGCAGATGACTTTTTCTCAAATCTGGATTCTACATTTCTGTGTTTTGAGCAATATCGACGGTATTTCTGCTTGGATTTTGTTGATTTTTTAGTGCGTTGTAGCTGAGACAAGTTTCCACAAGATTTGTTACAAATTCCGAACTTGATTCTTAAGGTAATTCACGAGCGTATGCCAATTGAAATCGCCCATTCGTTAATTTCTCTCTTTCCCCTTCATTCTCAATTCCCCCTTTTTGTTTTCCCCTCTCGTTCTCTATCTCCCCCTCTTTGTCTCACCTCTCTTTACTGTTCAAAATAATGTCTGTAATAATTTGTCCATATCCCTTACCTTTAAATATATTATTGTGTAATGAATTTCTCTCTTATACTCTAATAATAAACAAGCCTCATCCATATTTTGGCGGTTAAAGTTGAAACAACTGGATCTTGAGAGACATTTTATACCCAGCAGAAGATTACATTACTTTCTACTCTACATTTATTTGTGATGGTACAGCTTTTTCTTTTCCATGCACATGAATCAAATATTAATTAAAACTGAACCTCAAATTATAGGATATTAATTTTGTAGATAGGATTATAACGTGTAGAAATTATGTTGGGAAAAAGCTGTGGAGCGACTAAACATGACCACCAATTCGGAGGGACCTTATCCTCATACATTCAGTTGATGTTTCCAGTTCCTTTCACCTGTTCCTTTCTTTAATACTCTCTTCCCCCTTCCCCCTTTTTAAAGAACAGGGAGGATGGATAACTAACCATAATTGGTTCCTCAATATCTAGTATGAAAGTTATTCAATGCTGGCAATAATAATAGTATTAATAGTAAAAGATAATGATAACAAAATATTTGAAAGGGTGCATGAAACATAAGAAATACATGTACATTTAGAAGTTCCACCTACCACTGACTACTATCTCGAACATGCAAGTAGCTCTATTTCCAGCGGCATCAACAGCTGTGTATGAAATAGAGGTTATTCCCAGTGAAAAGTCGCCTGCATTGGTCACCTCTCCATTGAATGTCAATGTAACATTATTAGAGTTATCTGACACTGTTGGTTCAGTCCAAGACACTGTAGCGAAATTCTGACCGAGCTTCATGGGAACGGACTGGGAGGATGGACAGTCAATTATAGCTGGTTCCTCATTATCTGAAAAGAAAACGAATGCATAATACAATCATAATATAGATAATATCAATAACTGTAATATGATGATGATGATGATTATGACGATAATAATAAGGTTGATAATGATAATAATAATAATAATAATAATAATAATAATATCAATGTAGGCCTACTATTATGAATAATGATAACATTAATTAAGACTTTGAGCGGGCATGAAAGATAAAATATATATCCACAAGAATCACCTACCACTGACTACTATCTCGAACACGCAAGAAGCTCTATTTCCAGCAGTATCTTCAGCTATGTATGAAAGAGAAGTGATTCCTTGTGTAAAGTTGCCTGGATTGGTCCCCTCTCCATGGAATGTTAAGTTAATCTTCAAAGATGCATCTACATTATCCATCACTGTTGGTTCAGCCCAATACACCGAAGCAAAATCCTGACCGAGTTCCATGGAAACGGACTGGGAGGATGGACAGCCAAGTATTGCTGGTTCCTCATTATCTGGAATGAGAGCAATTTAATGATAATGATAATAACATTACTCGTACTAAAAAATGAAACTAATGATAATAGTATTGATCATCATTAATGATGATGATTATAATAATATTGATGATGATGATAATGACAGTGATACCAATTATAAGTATAAAAAACAATGACAATATAGTAGGAGACCAGCCTGTAGGTCCCGTGACCAATCTCTGGGAACAAAGGTTTGAAAGTGTTTTTGTGTTCCCTGATGAATACCGAACAATTTTGACTTGGGCTGCCCCCTTGAAAATCCTGGGCATTCTTGTGAGGGGTCAACAAAGGTCATACAGGGTAGAAATTCAAATATATATGCAAATCGTGTCGATATGCATATCAAATTACTCGACTGGTCATGCGCTATGGTAAAAAAAGGTCAATGCACTTTAGACTGGTGGTCAAATTCACCAACACAGTTAAGGTCGGAGGTATAAAAATATATACATTTTTGGAATCCTCATGACCAGACGAGTAATTTGATATGCAATTTGATAAGGTTAACTGTGTTGGTGAATTTGACCACCAGTCAAAAGTGTGTTGGCCTTTCAACGTTTTTGAATATACTAAAACCCAAAATATTCAAAAGCTAGCATGAAATATAAAATATATATCCACAAGATGCACCTACCAATGACTACTATCTCAAACATGCAAGTAGCTCTATTTCCAGCGGCATCAACAGCTGTGTATGAAAGAGAAGTGATTCCTCGTGTAAAGTTGCGTGGATTGATCTCCTCCCCAGGCCCATCGAATGACAGCGTAACATTATCAGAGTTATCTGACACTGTTGGTTCAGTCCAAGACACCGTAGCGAAATTCTGACCGAGCTTCATTGGAATGGCCTGGGACGATGGACAGCCAGCTATAACTGGATCCTCAGTATCTGGAATGAGAGCAATTTAATGATAATAATAATAACATTACTCGTACTAAAAAATGATAGGATTTGAATAGAATCGATCATCACAATCATTGTAACGATGATGAATAAAATTACCATTTTTTTATAATAACGATCTTAATAATATTAATGATATTAATGATGACAATGATACTAATATCAATTCATTACTTTCATGATAGTTATAATAATTATAATAATAATCATTATCGTCATCATCATCATTATTACAATCATTTTGATAATACTGAAAAGTGAATATCAATGTAGGCCTACTATTATGAATAATGATAACATTAATTAAGACTTTGAGCGGGCATGAAAGATAAAATATATATCCACAAGAATCACCTACCACTGACTACTATCTCGAACACGCAAGAAGCTCTATTTCCAGCAGTATCTTCAGCTATGTATGAAAGAGAAGTAATTCCTTGTGTAAAGTTGCCTGGATTGGTCCCCTCTCCATCGAATGTTAAGTTAATCTTCAAAGATGCATCTGCATTATCCATCACTGTTGGTTCAGCCCAATACACCGAAGCAAAATCCTGACCGAGTTCCATGGAAACGGACTGGGAGGATGGACAGCCAAGTATTGCTGGTTCCTCATTATCTGGAATGAGAGCAATTTAATGATAATGATAATAACATCCCTTGTAAAGGATGTGATAGATCCTACATCGGTGAAACTGCCCGTTCGATAAAAGAAAGAATCACTGAGCATAAGAGGGACGTCAGACTCCGTCGAACTGACAACTCAGCCGTAGCCGAACATGCTTGGGATAACCAGCATCAACCAGACTGGGACGGGGTTCAGTGCCTTTCCCAGGAACGGCATTGGTATACACGGAGGGTGAAAGAAGCTATCAATATCCGTCTCAATCCTAATAATTTCAACAGAGACAACGGGATCGATATCCCCGAATTTTGGATGCGGACGATACGCCGCCATGACACTCGCCGTCCTGCCAGCCAACACCGGTCGATTCCATTCAGCAGACGGTCCGAGCCAGCGGCCAGTTGATTGGTTGAGTACCGTATGCGTCGGCCAATAGGCCTGGTGCATTAGCCGAACCAGCGGCCGAATCCAGCGGCCTGGTGATTGGTCGATCACCGTGTGCGTCGACCAATAGGCATTGTGCGTTATTGTTCCAATTATCGATCGAATTATGGACCGCTCCGCCGGTCCTCCCGTAGAGTATAAAAGACCCTTGCTTACAGTAGTTATTATCACCAGATGAAGTGTTGCAGATGCACACGAAACGTCGTGAACTTTTAGATTCCTTATTGACCACATTGCGAGACAAACGAATATCACTAGCGATATTATTTTCGATACTATATCCGCAATGAGTAATATATTTAGCATTAATAATAACATTACTCGTACTAAAAAATGATAGGATTTGAATAGAATCGATCATCACAATAATTGTAACGATGATTAATAAAAATACCGTTTTTTTTATAATAAAGATGTTAATAATATTGATGATATTAACTCTTATCATGCCACAGGGCTAATCCCCATTGCGCCAAGCCCCAAATCCCCCCGTGCCAGGTTGTTTTGGAGATAATCTGATCAACGCGATGGATCTATGAAAAGCGAGTGCAAAACACACAGCACAGTCCAATGAGCATAAACAATAACTGCTATTACGAATGCTGCATTGCACGCACATGGCACTCAAGCGATGGCTCTCTCGCATGTACAAAGCACTATAACGATAGCGTGCATGCAGCCTTATGGCAGGCTATGAGTGAATGATGACAATAATACTAATATCAATTCATTACTTTCATGATAGTTATAATAATTATAATAATAATCATTATTGTCATCATCATCATCATCATTACAATCATTTTGATAATACTGAAAATGATGACTATTAAATTACAAAATTAGATTTTAAGAAGTAACTACAGAATGTACATCAAGGATATCATGATCATCAGGGTAAAAATGATAACATTTGATTTCGTTAAAGTACTAATGACTTTGTCACAATTGAAGTCATCCTAAGATAATTTCATGACGAGGGGGTGCAAAGGCGTAATCAATTAATAGATTTCTTTTAGACTTAAATTTAAGATCAATATATTCAAAAGCTAGCATGAAAAGTAAGAAATACATGTACATTTACAAGATCTACCTACCACTGACTACTATCTCGAACATGCAAGTAGCTCTATTTCCAGCAGTATCTTCAGCTATGTATGAAAGAGAAGTAATTCCTTGTGTAAAGTTGCCTGGATTAGTCCCCTCTCCATCGAGTGTCAAGGTAAAATTAATAGCATTTTCCCTAACTGATGGTTCAGACCAAAACACTGTAGAAAAGTTCTGTCCAGGCTTCATGGGTACGAACTGGGAGGATGGACAGTCAATTATTTTTGGTTCCTCGGTATCTAAACAAAATCATGCACGAAAATAAATACAACTTTCATTACAACGTATCTTCTTACATAAGCACGAAACGTATAGTCAGTGTGGTATATGCGTGAGTGTGTGTGCGTGTGGGGTGGTGTGTGTGCGATGTGTACATTTATATTTGTATGTATATTTGCTTTTTTTTAATTAAAAATTGTGAATTATAATGATGTATCATAATTATGTAATCAAAATCTATTACAGATGAATCTATACAACTTTATCAAATCAATCGCAACGTAATATAGCTATATCACTTGTTATTAACTACAACAGTTTTTTTAATTAAAATCCACCTCTTCTTACAGAAATGTCACTCGTCTTGATTGACATGAATTGCTCGTTACCTCTTTTTGTAAAGACTGTTGTTCAATTAACTACTCTTCCGGGCCGACAACTCACAAGCATAGCTGTCACCTTCCCCCTCCATATCATACTCTTCTTTTAAAGGGAAAGTTGAGTTTTGTTGCAGAGGGCGCTACACAAAATATTTTTTTTGTGAAATACAATTTAAATGACGAAAATCATTGTTGTTTGATCCAAATCGTTTCAGAATCGGCTGAAATATCCATAAATATAACGATTTCTAATATTTGTGGTGCATGCCCTACAAATATTCGATAATTTGAACCAGCCGTTGAAAAACGATTTACGTTTTATTCCAGCCAATGCCGATGTTGGCTTTTTTTGTCTCTTCCGTGTTAATTATAATACGCACAACCAGCTTGCCCGTGTATTATTATTATGAACTAATTAATTAATTAATGGTCATCATATTTTTTTTAAAGTGGAGCTGAATTGGTATGATCGTACTGGCTGAATTCCATACGTTTTGGGGTCTAAAATTACCTTCATAGCAATCTTAGGTCCTAAAAGAGCACTAGAAATGTCATAAATAAGAATAAGAGCAATAACCATGCACTTTGAAGTCATTTGCTGTCTGAAACAAGAACTCAACTATCCCTTTAAATTCGGTCTCCTCATTTTACTGCATGAAAAAATGTGATATGAGGTACTCGCTTTCTGTTTTTGTCTCTGTTAATAGAATTCATGTTTATCTGGTTCACCAAGGAGGTATTATTTATACATTTTACACTGTTTATTATGTGAAATTATTGAAGTCATTAAGAAGTCAACTTTGTCTTTAACGCCCTTTTGCCTCTCATCAAACGCAAGGAAGATTTTTGTTTTGGGGAATCATCTAGGCCTTTAGCTTGGTTCATACGACAGTTCGCTACCAATAGCTCTTTGTTTGAAACTTTCGAACTTGTTTAAAGTTAGGAGATAAAGACCTCGCGGTCGATACGGACGAGACTCGTGTTACAAAACTTTAGGTTTGCTCGAAGTTATAAACCACGAGCAGTGGAGTGCAACTACAATTAGTTTCGAGGTTACGCCAGCTTGTAGTTTAAAATGACTGCTTGCCCCGGCTTGTAGGTTAACATTTTGAATGTAGCCCTACTCGTCTTACTTTGCTCCCGTGTGAACCTTTGTCATTGTTGGCGCATCGTAGTTTATAACATAACAAATAGGCAAACTTAAAGTTTGAAACTGGACGGTACCCAGTGGCGGATCCAGGGGGGACGTGCCCCCCGGCCCCCCCCCAAAAATGTTAAAATCAGCCCTAAATGCGCCCAAAATGTACTAATAAAAAAAAATAAAATATGCCAATGACTGACCAAAAAGTTGACCTCACCCCCTCTCCCGATGGAGAACAATGTCAAATTACAAAATTTCGTGACCAAAAAAAAAAAAAAAAGTCCTCTTACGCCCCCCCCCGCTTATTCAGCCGCTGACTGATTCGTTGCGATTTTGGGGGGACCCCCCCCCCAAAAAAAAAGTGTCCTCTTAAAAATTATCAATATTACGTTCTATGCTCGTGTTTATGACGTAGAAGTCGCGTATATGGAAATTGCTTTGAATTTACCATGTACAGACAAAAAATGGGTTTTTGAATCAGTTGAATAAAATGTAGTCCATCTCGGTTGTATGACACATGCTCCTGGACAATTGCCTCGAGGTTAATTCCCACACTAACCGAATTCCTAACTTCTACTCTGGACCCAGTAGGGTTAGGTTTACCCTATTCCCCCAACCCTAACCTTATGCCTATCATAAAATCCTTTTACAAGATAAAGCCCGGGGCAATTGTCGCAAGAGCAAATGTAGGTTCACCTCTTTATTTCTCACCTACGACATGAAATTCAAATGAGCAGTAGGCGGTGTTATTAGAATCATCAGTTGCTGCGTACATGACCAAGTAGCTCCCGATCTCAAAGCTCAAGCCGTTCCCCGTGCTGGTGTAAGTGTTACTCATTTCTCGAGTAATGTTGTAGAACAACATAAATGATCCCGAGTCGTCGGATATGATAGGTTCAATCCAACTAACGTTGACGGCCGCATCACCTTCAGCTGGAATAACGGTTAGATCTAGTGGACAGTAACTAACAACTGGATCTTCATTATCTGAATGGACGAAAATTAAGTAAAAGAACAAAAGGTGTATCATCAGTCCTTTAGTCTGTATATCAACAAACATAATTGTTAGTAGTACAGTGTCTCCTTTCAGTAGTGTTTTTGCAATATCTTTTAATCCAAAACACTTGGCATTAGACTTTATACATTAGCAGAAAAAAATTAAAAAAATTCTGATTCTAATTCCAAAGCAGTATGTTGTGCCGTTTTCAAATAGGAGCCAGTTAATTTTAAGTAATCATTAAAGTCTCTCTATCTGCAAATATTGGTAAAATATAAAAGCACTATCTTGGTGTACATATTAACAATTTTGCGACTTGTATTTCTTTCGAGTCATATGCACTGTGGCCCACAAAGTTGGAACAGCTTTTCTTCCACTATTCATGAAATGATTGTGACAATATGATTTATTCTTGATAGATGGAAGCTGAATCTTTTCAGAAGTATAATCAATAACGATTGTCTTTTTTTCTCTCCCTCTCACTGTTTCCCTTTCCCTCTTCTTCACTAGATCTGTCTCCTTCTGTCACTGCCTCTCTCTCCTTCTCTCCTCTCTCCCCTTTCACTCTGCATCATCTCAGCTTGTCTCATTTATATGTATAACAATTTAATCCAAGGAAATTCGAGGCAATTTCTATCGTTTGGCCATTGACTGCCATGCATACTAACAATCGTTTCTAGATTTAACATCATCGATGTTGGGTTATGGATGGGTACAATATTAATATCTTATTCATATTTTATATTAAATCATGACTAAATAAATCACTATGTACATTTTGTAATATTTATTAAAAAAAGTGTTTTGAGCTTGTTTAGTATAAGTAAACAGTTTAATCCTCTATCGAAAACCTGAAGGGGCGCTGTGCCACTTTCAATCATGGTCATCATTCTAATATCGTCATCATTGTATTCATGAACATAATCGTGTTTTTTTAAATATCGGCATTACTGTCGTGATCAGTATTCACAAGAGCTTATTTAAGCTAGAAATATGGAAGGCATTGTTCTCAATTGCATCTCTCTCTCACTCTCTCCTCTCTCTTGCTGTTTTTTTCCCTCTCCTCTCATGTTCTGCCCCTCTCCTTTTTTGGTCTGTCTCTGCATCTATCTATCTCTCTCTCTCTCTCTCTCTACTCTTTCACCCTCTCCGTCTCTCCCTCTCTCTCTCTTGCCTTGCCTCCCTCTTATTCTCTTGCTCTATCTCCCTCTGCCCTACACAGTTGAAACTTGACTCATGGATAGACCATAATGGGAGTAGTAAACGAAAGATGAAATCGTGAAAATACGTTCTTCATTATGTTACACATGAGCATACGTATCACCTAATTCGTCAAAGTGACGAATTAAAGTCTAGTTAGGTGATACGTACGAAGTCTACGTATCAACTATTGATTTCGTCAAGATTTTTCTTTATTAGGTGATACGTACGTAGACGTATCACCTTTTGATTTCGTCAAGATTTTTATTATTATTATTAGGTGATACGTACGTAGACGTATCACCTTTTG